AATATAGAAAAACTTCATGTACTGTATCAGTTACAAATGGGCCACCATGTAATTGATGTGCTAAACATTCACTGTCTTCACTGTTACAAAATTTGTTTCTTTGTTCAGCCATGGTACCCAAATGCCTTAATGGTAGCTACAGTTCACCAGTCATTTTATTAAGTATTCAGAAAAATGTATCTTTTTAAATATTTGCTAAAGCTTGGCAAAGCTAGTCGGTGTGCGTCGCCCACATTAATCATGACAGTTTTGGTGTTTCCTCATCAGCAATGGCCATGAAAAGACCTAAAACCTTACACAACCCTGAGCTACACTGTGGCACTGATCGACATGTTGCTTCATCACCATGAATACATGCTGCAATTTATTTTTGCCTCCACTGCGCACATGGTGCCCTGCGGCGTTAAATACAGTAGAGCACCAACTCTGTGGCAGAAAATAACCCCTACCAGTTGTACTCTTTTCTCCACTTGCTAATGACTACAGTGTCTAGCTGTTTCAGTAGCCTTTTAAAAAATGAAATTCTATAATTGAAACTAATTTTAAGACTGAAATTTTCAATAGCATGGGCGACACACACCGACTAGCTAGCGACTAGCTGTCAAAGATCTCCCCAAGCAGATCCATCTCTTCAGGGTCACACAGCAGTCACTCTTCACCCTCTTCATCCTTCTCGTACTCAGTGTCAGGCTCAGTCACAGGCCCAGACATAGCTCTGATATCAAACAGATAGCACACAGAAATGGCACAAACAAGAAGATACAGTATATGTATTATTGTTTATAATGGAATTAGAGCAGGAAGGGTTTCCACATTTCTCTGTTTGTCAACCCTGCTGGTGGACGGAACTCAGAGCCCTTAAGTAAAACTAGCAATAAATGTTTTGCCTTCAAAGTTTTACCCTAAAAGCACTGACAGTCAAATATACTTAAATGTAAAAGTATAAATTATGCAGAATGGCCCCTTTCACTGAAGTCAATTTGGTTGGTATGGAGCCAGTTTTAACGACTTGATATACTGTAATTTTGTGTCTGGCTTATTCTCCAGGTTTCCTTATTTACAAAGTATTTATCTCAGGTTTATTTACCACCAGCATGCACCTGCGCTGAGAGGTTCCAGAGCCAGAGTACTTGAGTAAATGTACTTAGTTACTGCTCACCCATCCCATGTGTCTCCAGTGTCTTTCATGTCCTCATCCCCAGGAGTCCTAATTTTAAAAGCAGGCAGACTGGGACAGGACTAACATGTGGCAACGTGGTAACAAAGCAAAGGGAGACCACAGGGCATTCCCCCGGAGAAGCTAAAGGAAGTGTCTGGAGAAAGGGAAGTCTGGGCATCTTTGCTTAGACTGTTGCCCCCGCGACCCGGTTCCGGATAAGTGGAAGAAAATGGATGGATGGATGGACACACACAGCAGACTTTATATCAGTTGAAGCACGTACCCGCATAAACATGAGCCCACCTTGTGCATCAGCAGGTTTTTCAAACCAGACTTGGCAAGACCTTTGGCCTGGGAGAGATACAAAAGATCATGAAGAGAAATGTTTTGGTAATGCAGACAGAATGCACCTGCCCTCCTCACTGCAAAAGCACCTTGGCCCTCACTCACCCTCATGTTTGCTTTGGACCTCATGTTGAGGATGAGCGCTCCTCCCCCTTTCTGTCAAAACATACAAATGTGTTCATGTTGTGTTCCACAACAAGGAAACACATTAAAAAGCAAGAATGTTTTAATAAAGATTAAATGATTTACCTTTAAATTGCCAACTAATTGTTGATATGTTTTGCCTTTTCCTACAAATAAAGAAAAAAAAACACATGAAAGAAAAAATAATGTTATAAAAACTCTTTATCTCTCTCTCACACACACACACACACACACACATACCTGTAGTTGTATCACACTTTAGGATCTCCTCCTCAAAGAGGTCATCTGGGTCCTTCCCCTTGTTCAGAATATCCAGGCGGTTGTCAATGAACTGAAATAGTTTTTTTTAAATGGTCACATTGACTTCATAACAAATACAATTTTATTAACCAACTTACAAATGTGTAGTTTTATTTAGATAAATCTAAATCTAAATATCAGGTTGAAAACAACAACCCATTAAGTTATGGATTAGCAGCAAAGACATTTATTAAGATGCAACATTTCACTTTAATTCTCTGCTCAACAAGACCCCACATCCCCCACCGTGTTACAATTGCAGTGTCTGTGCAGTAGAGGGCAGCAAACCATTTGAGGCACAATGTGCACCTGTTTGAAGAACTGTAAATGAACGGCACTCTGCAGGAACTGCCTCATACTGGGAGACTTGTGAGCTAGAAACAGCTCCTCATTGAACCATATTTCACCATCCTGTACAGAGAGATAACGAGAGAAGGAGAGAGACAGGCACAACAGAAGAGAACAATGACCCCTAAAAGCACACACACTGTACATACAGGTTTACTGTTCGGCCCAAAGCTGCATATAAAATGACCAAATCAAAATGTTACTGTTTGGCCTAAAGCTGCATATAAAATGATCAAATCAAAATGCAGATAACACTTTAAAACATGAAATCTCTGTTTTAAATGTGCAAACAATACATTTTCACACACTATGAATTATTGAAATGTGTTTTATTTGTATTATGAAAAGCATAAATATTTTAAAATGCAATAAACCAGTGTCTGACCTTGTGGCTCTGCAGTGCGTCCCTGTACCCTCCAAACAGCAGAGCCTGAGCTTTCAGGAAGGCCCGTGAGACACCAGAACCAGGAGACACAGCCTGGCGCTTCAGACACACCTTCAGCCCGGACATCTGAAGACATGTTTGTGCTAATATTAGTCACATTAAGCTAAGCAAATGTACACTGCTGCAAGTCAGTCAGATAAGGTCGACATGAGATAAGACATTGCCAGAGGGTAGTTTTTTTTTTGCCATAATTTGCTGGTTGACAGTAAAAAGTGTCAGAAGAGGACAGCTGAATTCCAGCCAAAGGCCCTGGCTGTCAAACCACCACAGGATGTTTTCCATGGACCCAGGAACTGTTTCAGGAACTCAGAAATGTTGCTGTGCTTCAGGAACCAGCCTCTAAATTTGGTTCCTCTGCCACAGTTCCCAGCCCCAGAATGTCCCTGCTTCAGGGGTAGGACACTGATGGCCCAGAAACTACAGTATTGAGTTTAAAGTGCTGATCATCACTAACCAGTCCCAAACCTCAAACTGAATTTTTTTTTTTACTCAGTAGCTTTTTGAAATGAGTTTGTGTGTTACTGATTTAATTTGACCGATTGTCACAATTCTTCAGATGTGGTGGTAATGTAAACAGGAATATGTAAATGTGATGTTTACTTCCAAATTTAGTTCTTGCCATTTGTTTGCCCTTTAACTAGCATTGCATGATTTTGTGCTACAGGCCACCATTAAAAAAAAAAAAGAATTTAAATAACAGTATACTCATACTTTCCACACTATAAAAAACAAAATGGCAAATCAATAAATGGGATACAACAAAAATACATATCTATATAACCACACGCGTTTAGTTTTTACCACATCTGAAGGTATCCCCTTAAGATCATCAAAGGGGGTTTCCAGTGTGTTTGTATCCACATTCAGAATGACAACTTCCTCCAGCCCACGACTCCTCACCTTCTGGCAGACAGACACAGAGACACAGTATAATCAGGGGTCAGCGTCTTGGGACTAACCCTGTAGTTTTATGGGTTTTGTAGCATTTAAATTGTTTTAATCAGCAGTTTACCTCAGATAGACTGGTGTGGACCCCTATTAGATAAGGCATAGGTGCACTGTAACCAGATTAACAAAGTGTGAATCTAATGTCAGTGTACTGATAGCAGATAGCTAGATAGAGAGATTAAGCCCTTACCAGCAGTAGTCCAGTAAGTGGGGCGGCAGGACAGGTATGAAGATGTGTTGCCAGTACATGGGGTATAACACAGCACTGAGTGCATGCACGCAAGATGTCAGCTACACACATCACAAAATGGAGGTTAGTTTTAGACTTTAACAACACAGGAAAACACAAGTGTGCCTGTGTGGCCTGCCATATTGACCCAAATAGCCAACGTGTGACACCTAGACACCACAGTGGAGATTATTCTAGTTTTGGTGAGTTTGTTTGTCCTGTGGTTGAATGTCACAGAGGCTAAAGTGTTTTCTGGCTTCATTGGTTGACGGGTATGAATTGGAGCTAGGCATGGGTATGATTGTAGGTTAGGAGCGGTTTCTGGAGAATGATCATGTTTCTACAGCCAAGACCGAATGTACTGTTAAACCATAAAATCATCTAAATGAAAATGTGTCTTACAGTGCTGAGCTTGCTGGCAAAGATGAGGATGCGTCTCTCAAACAGCATGCTGGTGTAGAGCTGGAGCAAGTTCCCCACATCTACTGCCACAATCAGCTCTGTCAGGTTCCTCTGGTAAATCCACAGACACACACATGCACATCAGTTTGAATGGGCAAAGTGTTGTCCACTGTCTTTGTAGAATATAAGATATATATACATGAGTTTATTTCAATCTAACATGCTCACATTTTCTGGGATGGAAGGGAGACTCCTGGGATCTGGAGCAATGAAGTATGGAACCTGCTCAGAACAAGTGAAACAAAACATTTTTGAGAAAAATGCGGGAATTTAATGTAAATGTTTTCTCTTTCCCATGGATTAGTATCATCTACATCATGCAGACGTGTTCATCCACTGCCACAGGATCAGATGTTTTAGGGAGTCATTCCAAATGTATTTATTCATTAAACAATGCTGTTCTTAGATGCAAACTATTGTGTAAGTTAATGTGTTGCTGTAACACAACAGTAAAATTATAAACAGTATAAATATCAAACTATTTTTGATAATATTGTTGACTGGCATTTTTTCAGCAACATTCAGTAACAACCTCTCCTGTTGGTGGCAGTCTGTCTTTCTAGCACTGGATTAAAATTGCATGCCACATATGAGCTGTATTATGTTACTGCTAGTACAAACCAGAATTCATGAACAAGAAGAATTAAGCTGCTAAACTTGTTGTTGCCATGGTAACCATAGGTGCTGCCAAATCAATCTGGACTGAAATTCTACAGATTGCAAATTTGAAAAATATTTTTTAATAAGGCAAATGTTTCTTTCAAGTGGATGATTTCTTATTTTGGAATTATAAGGCAAATGTTTCTTTCAAGTGGATTTCTTATTTTGGAATGAAAATCTTCAAATTCAAAAATACAAAAAGGATACAACCAGATGTGGATCTGAGCGACATGCAGGCATTTCTCAGATGGCACAGCACTGGTTGTGGGCATGGATGGATCATGAGACACTGGACCTCTGGGCACAGACATGTAAACAATCCCCCACCCTCCTTATGAGCAAAATCAACAGATTGAAACAGAGTTTTGTGTCTGCTTCTAGTTATTTTGTGACTATATGTTGTTGTTTTGAACATGTACATAGAGATGCACCATGGCCATTTGGTTATGGCCATGGTGCATCTCTGTGTTCATGTTTTGCAAATCTTTTCATTCTTTTTTTTTTTCATTTTAGTTATTTTGCACTTTGTGATGCTTTGTGTCTCTTTGTGGCTGTTTTGCATCTATTTTTTGTCATTTTGCATCCATTTGTTGCTGACTGACTTTATAAGAAGAAATGCTGTCACCTCATACAGAGCCTCTGGTCCCGGGGCCCCTGATCTCTTGGGCCCTGGGGCCTGTGCCCAGTAGGCCTGTTCAGTATCCATCCATGGTTGTGGGGACAGTACATACATACAGTGAACAGTTGTAAAGGTCAAGCATTAGTGCAAATTGTGTTAAATTTGGCTTAAACTTTTAAACAATTAGGGGGTGAGTGACATGGTTTTAGTCCACACAGATCAGGTTTAGCCATCAAGCACAGACAGCTGACGTTTTCCAGCAGGAGTTAGTCTGTACGCTGTATCTGCTTGGCCCTATTCCACAACACATGGACTTCTGTGGGACTCACCACCTTTTGTCCCCCAGGGTGTCCAACAGGCTGGGACACCTCTGTGCTGACCAATAGCTGTTCTCCCTCAGAAAAAAAACACAAGTTGCTAACCACTGACAGAAGACTGCCATAAAGTCGAGTGTGATTCATGGTATTCATGGCGTAATTAGAAATTTACCATCTGCAGAGTGACAGACCCATTTGCCAGCGGTATGGGCTGCTGGTAGAGCGCAGCCAGCAGCACTTTCATCTCATTGGTCTGTTGAGAAGACAATGGTCACCGTATTACTGACACTGTGCCTATTAGACACTAACAGAAAAGGAGAACGGTTACACACAGCAAGCAGTGAAACCTCACCTGTCCCTTTGTGAGATAATCTGCCAAGTTGTTGAGAAGTTTGTAAAACACTTCAAACCACGGAAGATAACTGTAATAAAGTAGAATTTAAATGATTTTTGTCACTGTGTGAAGTACGTGGTTTAACTTGTCATTCATACTCACCCTCTCACACATACCTGAGAATGCAAAGGCAGGTGTGTGTGCTGTTGGTGAGGCGACAAAAGCCAAATCGCTGGCATCCTTCAAGGTCAGTCAGAACAAAGGTAAAGTGCTGCACAGCCACTCCATCCCTCACTCTGAACAGATCAATATGAGAAGTGGACATACAGTATAAAAAACAGGCAGGCTATAAATGTAACATGGAGTAAAGAACAAACCAGACAGTTTATACTCACTTTTGTATATCATACGGGAAGCAGAACCTGGGCAGTGTTTGACAGGACTCCTAGAAGGCGGGACAGAGTTGGGTGTGTATAAGGAAAAGTGAGCCTACAGCCATGCTAGCAGCTCTGTGTGGGCACAGGGGTGCTTAAACTACTTTATGAGCATTTTAGCATGCTGACATTAGCATATCGGCTACAGTAGCTTAAGCACCTCTGTGCTATATGTACATGTACTGTAATGCTAACTTGCTCATAAAGACAATGTTAAAATGCTGATGTTTGTAGGAGAAGTATGCTGTTGCCACTGACAACTAGGTGCTCAAGTAACAAAGGAACAAATGATTGGAATCCATGTAAGAACTGTCAAGCGATTTCACTCAAACCACAAATATGGTGGTGCAGGAGGAAACACCAGGGAGTCGCCAAAGTTATTAGAATTTGTCTTCTGAGTACCATAAATGTGTGTACAGCAATTTATTAGTCTAAAAGATGTTGATATATATCACTCTAGACCAAAGCAGCTTGGACTAACCAACTAACCATTCAACATTACAATTTCCACAACCATTTGGTAGAACTACTTGCCTAAAAACAAGCAATTATGATCATCTTAACATGATAAAATATAAACCGTATATTCTATGTTTCCAGGAACAGGAGACATGAGTTGCTACCTCGTCACTGAAATCCTCTGGAAACTGAAACAGTAGACCAGGATCTGCAACATTAAAATGAATGAATGAGTGAATGAAGATCGATGTTAACCAAACAAACTACCAGGCAATGAACACTGAAGTAAATAAATTATATGAAATGAATTATTAACATAGGCACATATATTTACAAAAGGTTAATTTAAAAGGTATTTTGTGTTTTTAACCCCTTCAGCTCAAACCCAGCTGCCTAGTTTATGCGAACTACAATGCATTCTAATCTAGTTCAAGTGTGATGGATAGCCTGTGTGGTTTGTCTGATCACATGACAGGAAGTATGAGCAACTCAGCTTGACAGAAATAGCTTCATATACATAAAGTCTTATATTTGATTTTTTGTGTAACACATAAGGGAATTAGCTTTGCTTTTTATGTTCGAAGGCAGTTTCAGATGAGGGGAGACTAATATCAGTGTAGCGTGTCATGTCAGAACATTTAAAGAAGAAGGTGAACAGAGTGAGAGGAAAGTATTTGAGGAACAATTTTAATCAACTTCTCTGTTACTGACACATCACTCTGTGCATCCAAATGGTTCTATAGCAGAGTACACACTTGTAATACTCCAAGGAGGCTGAAATACATACTGGGAAACAATATTACAAATACAATCTGGCCCAAGTGTGCTGCTGGGAAAAAGACAGAAGCCTCACCTTTGTCTCTGGCTACAGGACAAGTTGCTTCGAAGAACCAGTAGAAGATTCGCTCAGGGTTTTGTCTGGCAGGAAAAACATTTACAGCACTAATGAGATTATGTTGAAAGTGTGTTACCTACCAAACATGGTCATGTTAATGTTGTGACATTGGAGTGAATTTGCTTAACATTTATCATATTTCTAATATCATAATTCTTCTAAATCTAAAAGATTTTGATCTCTGGTCATTATGAAACAGGACAAATTTAGATTAATATATTTAAATGGTGGTCACCAAAACAGATCTTAAACATTTTGCTCTGTTTTGGACAAGAACAGGTCTGCCATGAAATGTATGACAACTGATACAGGGCAACAGAGTTGCAGCAGGAAACTTCCTGTGCAGTTGTGAGAGGAAGTAATAGAAACCACAAGAACAGACTGACAGGCAGAGTGATGGTGATCGAAGTCAAACAAAAATGACGATTAACTTACTTCAGTCTAGAGCCCATGCTGTCTGAATGCATCTGTGTCCATGGGTTTGTCCAGAAGGGGAGAGACCTTCAGCAGGGTTGTTAGATAGTAGTCATTCCTCTGATGTAGCAATGGTGAATGCACACAACAGCAGTAGCAGCAGGCTGCAGTCAGCACTGGAGTGACAGAACGCTTCCTGGTCTACAGAATGTCAGTATGTGTTGTGCCAATATGTATATGACGTCTTTTATGAAACCACCTCTTTAAACTGTTCGCTATTTATATTCACTCTTGTGAATGTTGTATTACTTGTGCTTTGATGACTTCTTCCATTTCCTCATAGATCTCACCATTTTAAAATTTATAGTCATCAGGTCAAAAGGCAGCCTTTACCTATAAAATAAAAATAAAATAAAAACCCACAACTTATCTGCATGAGAGTAGCTACAGGATTTAGTGACATAACAAAATCCATGTGTTTCCTTCACTTTTGATTTTTTTCATGTACATTAGAACTGTTGCCTAATAATTTTGGAGAGAGGACCTGTCATTATTATAGACAAAACAAATGGGTTTCACAGTTTGAATCCTTCCCTAACACCAGAGATGCTACTTAGCACCCATTTATTAGTTTACTTTTGACCATCTAGACAATTTATAGCATACGGGAAGATGACATGGTTTGTCTAGTTATTACAAACATTAACAGGCAAGGCACATATCTATATCATAAGAGCATTTACTGACAGGTTTTATAGTGGAAAAGAGGGTAACAAGATATTCACATCCTGAGATGTAGTCACAGATCTCATACTGCCTCCTAGTGTTGTTCAAGCATCATGGCATAATCTGTAAACAATACAGGTCTCCATTTTGGCATGCTGCATACTGAGTACATTTCCATGTACAGTACTTACTTTGTTTTGTTTATATATAATTTCAAAATGTAAAGCATTTTAATTGTACCCCACAGAAGCATATCAAACACACAAAGATTCTTGTCCAGCAACTTTATTTCAATGCCAAATTAGATAAGTGAACACAGTTGCAACAGTTGACCAGCCTTATTGAATACTTGGTCCAGGTATGGTATAGAACTGTTAGACTGAAGAAACAAACAAATGAACATTTAAAAGAAGCTACTGACAAAACATCACAAGAACACCTGTGTTAGCTACCGCTACATGAACACTGTGATGGGAGAGTCAGTGTTGTGAATCCTAGTCTGGGTGGAAGAAAATGAGAAGCTGTCAATGGAAGAAAGAGGGAAAATGAAACAGGGGAAATACACTGTACAAGGAACAGGGGAAGAGAAGTACTGTATTTAAAAAAAAAAAAAAAAAAAAAAAAAAAAGTCACGGCACAACAGAGTAGGAACTGGCTGGATGGAAGGTTGGATGGAGAAACAATGAGTGATTTTAGCCTTAGGCCACCTCCTCCTCTCCCTCCTCCTCAAACTCTCCCTCCTCAGCTGTGGCATCCTGATACTGCTGGTACTCAGACACCAAGTCGTTCATGTTGCTCTCTGCCTCGGTGAACTCCATCTCATCCATGCCCTCACCGGTATACCAGTGGAGGAAGGCCTTTCGGCGGAACATGGCAGTGAACTGCTCAGAGATGCGCTTGAACAGCTCCTGGATGGCCGTGCTGTTGCCGATGAAAGTGGCAGCCATCTTGAGCCCACGAGGTGGAATGTCGCACACAGCCGTCTTCACATTGTTAGGGATCCACTCCACAAAGTAGCTGCTGTTCTTGTTCTGCACATTTAGCATCTGCTCATCCACCTCCTTCATGGACATGCGCCCACGGAACACAGCAGCCACAGTCAGGTAGCGGCCATGGCGTGGGTCACAGGCAGCCATCATGTTCTTGGCATCAAACATCTGCTGAGTGAGTTCAGGCACAGAGAGGGCCCTGTACTGCTGACTGCCCCTGCTGGTGAGTGGCGCAAAACCAGGCATGAAGAAGTGCAGACGAGGGAAGGGAACCATGTTGACGGCAAGTTTGCGGAGATCTGCATTGAGCTGGCCTGGGAAACGCAGGCAAGTTGTCACCCCGCTCATGGTGGCGGAGACCAGGTGGTTGAGGTCTCCATAAGTGGGTGTGGTGAGTTTGAGGGTGCGGAAGCAGATGTCATACAGGGCCTCGTTGTCAATGCAGTAAGTCTCGTCTGTGTTCTCAACCAGCTGGTGGACAGACAGGGTGGCGTTGTATGGCTCCACCACTGTGTCTGACACCTAGAGACAGAACAAACAAGAAGTCAGGGAGTGAGAAACCAGAAATGGTAAAGTACTAACAAGTGCTACAACATGATGACTTTACCTTAGGAGAGGGCACCACACTGAATGTGTTCATGATACGATCAGGGTACTCCTCACGTATTTTGCTGATGAGCAGGGTTCCCATACCAGAACCGGTGCCGCCACCCAGGGAGTGGGTCAGCTGGAATCCCTGGAGGCAGTCACAGCTCTCAGCCTCTTTCCTCACCACATCCAGGACAGAGTCCACCAGCTCGGCTCCTTCTGTGTAGTGGCCCTTGGCCCAGTTGTTACCTGCTCCACTCTGGCCTGGAAGGAAAGGTTTAAATACAAGCCATCTTTTGAATATTCAGCATTCTTTATCCTGCCAAAAGTCTTAGACTATCATTTCACAAAAAAAAGATCGTTTTACTTCACATGCAATGCAATAATTCTCACTATTGTGCTGATGATTAACATGACCTTTCATTTGATTGCATAATCAACAACATATGCATGTGTGGCTTATCATATATACCAAAGACAAAGTTGTCAGGTCTGAAGATCTGTCCAAAGGGGCCGGAGCGGACAGAGTCCATAGTGCCTGGCTCCAGATCCACTAAGATGGCCCTAGGTACATACTTCCCACCTGGACAAAAAAAAAAAAAAAAAGGGAACATGTCAACATTTCTGACTAAAATCCAAAAACAAAGGCTATTAGGCCACACTTATGTCTGAACAGCCCTGACCTGAAGCCTCATTATAGTATACGTTGATTCTGTCCAGCTGCAGGTCACTGTCTCCATGGTAGGTCCCTGTTGGGTCAATGCCGTGCTCATCACTGATCACTTCCCAGAACTACAGAGAGGTTGGTCAATGGGTGAGATTAGATCAATTAATAAAAATGTGCATAACACAGTTTTTGGATTTAAACTACTAACATATTTAATATTAACACAGCGTAACACAAATGACTTGTCTTTACGCTGTACAACCCTCTTTGCTTCAGGGTATATACAGCAATCCTTAAGTTAAATTTAATACCTTTTTTTACTACCTTCAGATTTTTTTTAAAACCATCATGACACTGAGTTTCAAGTGTTAATCAGAGACCTTATTAATGTTGAAGCAGATTTTGACATATATAACACTATACACAACAGAATAGATTTAGAGACTCACTGATGTTGACCACATATTGCACACATTTATTTCACTTCATGAATAAAAATAAAACAAACTACATAAAATGTGCAATGAAGA